CAGTGCACTGGAGATGAATCGTCCGGTGTCGCCGATGATTCTAGGGACTGAGACATGCTCGGTACCAGAGCTCCAGTACCGAATAGCGGGAACTCTGGCTTCTCTGTGACTGTAAGGCCCTTCAAGAAACAGAACTCCTGTGGTACCGTTGATGGGACTGATACTGTCAGGGATTGCTGGTGCTGACTCGCTGGTACTGAGGGTCTGTTATGGGAGGCATGCTCTGAGGAGGGTTGTTTTTAAGCACTCACTGCCAAGGGTCTTTTTATTGGTCCCAATTTTGTAGAGGTGGTATGGTCTCCGTCCTTATATCTGGTAGGTGGAGCCTTTGCTTCAATGCCTTTGCCCTTCGGGTCTTTGGGTGCTATGGTAGAGTTCATACTGTGGAGTCCCCGAGATTCCTGGGAACTGTGCTTTGGAGCCATTTTTGCTGTGGTGATTGGACCCACTGGGGATCCCCTCTGGCTTGTAGCCTGTTTTCTGGAGGCTTTTCAGGAGGAATCAGTCGACTTTGACTGCGATTCCACCTCTGGAGGTTTAAGGCTCCAGCGATGATCTTTGTCCTGGAGAGGATTCAGGACTGGGGTCAGATGCGAGCCTAAAAGCACCCTCCACAAGGAGAAGTTTTAACTTCAGCTCCCGATTCTTTTGGGATCTAGCCTGGCCGTCTGTCACTGGGATTGCCTCCCTGCAGGAGAGGCACCTCTTGAAGCTGGGGGAACTCAGCATGCCCCTAAGGGGATGATCCCACAGCAAAAGGCAGGGGGGAAATGGTCAAAAGAAGAAAAGGTTTTGTTTTTAAATCGAAAAAATGGAAGCTCTAAGGGTACTACAAAAGAAAAGGAAACTCTAAGAACCAAGAGTGAACTATAACTGTAAGCTACCATTATAAAAAGAGTTAAGTAGACAACAGGACTGCTACACGTTCTGTTCAAGGCCAAAGGTGGTCGAGAAGGAACTGAGGGCAGTTCCCCTGGCTAGCACTAGTTAGCCTTGAGGCAGACCATGAGGGAGTGAGGTCACTTGTGCGGCCAAACAGACACTGCTACCTAAAATCTCTGATTAGAGATGCATGGGCGAAGATGCACCTACAGTGGAGCACCTATAGGGACACTACTTGAAGAAGGAGGATTTAATTCTCCTTCTGGCATGCTACCTATACAACAAAAACAACAACATACAACAGGAATAAGAGAGTGAAAAATATTATCGGAGACTAATGCTTCCAAGAAAACAAAATGTACGGCTATCACTTGCCCTTGTCAAAAGTTTTCTGAGCTGGAAGTAACATTCAGGCTTTTTATTATTCATTTCCTGTGTTGTAAAATGACACAGGCCAAATTGTTCATTTTGGGGGCATGTGATTCCTCTTGAGCCAGGAAGGTTTCAAAATGCTCGGTCCCCTCCGCCTCCTGCTGAGCTGCCACCTAACCCTCTAGGTGCCTAAAGTGCCCAAGCACCTAAGTTTCCACTGGTAAAGTCCCATAGTTGCCTACAGTTCTTCTGCTGGGCACGCAGAGTCACCTCAGGCCTGACAGCAGTGCCTAACTAATGCCTAAGGTCCAGCAGGATTTGCAAACTAGGAATTCACCTGCCTATCTCAGCCAAGCTGGTAGACATGCTCAAAGACAGCCACCACACAAAACCCAGCTGAAGGTGCCACCCTTATACAAAATGGCTTTGTATTTAGGGCACTCACTGAGGGTGTGAAGACCTGGGTTCAAATCCACTCTCTACCCGTTAATTTATACTAAAAAATTAATAAAAGATTAAAATCAAAATGAATTGCTTTAATATTGAAATAAAACATTTTTTGTGACCCAACCTGAACATTTTTTTTTGCAAATTACCATACTCGTGGCTAAGGCCCAGGACTGAGAGGCAGTAGCTGCAGGGTCTAATCCTGGCTCTGTCAGTCTGTAAGACATTTGGCAAGCAGCTTCCCAAGGCTTAATTCATGAATAGCGGTAAAACCTTTTGCACTCCTCGAAGTCCAACACACTCCTACCATGTGTGTAATGAACAGTGCAATTTAGGGATCAGTCGGTGCATGGCTGACACCCAGACAAACCAGATGTGATCAGTACTTGCATTTTCCATGGGGCACAA